AACCGCTTCTAATTCCATTTGTTCTGATTAATGTTCACACCTTCAAGACAGGCAGGCATTATGTTCCTTTTTTAAATCAAAAGACCTCCTTTCCCCACCCTACCTCCCAAAGGTTGCAAAGAATTTCCTTTGTTGAGATTGGTTAGGGTATTTTAAGACTTGCTCTTTTTCTATTCTTTCTCTGATACAGAGAATTTCACTAACAATATTATTGTTTTTAGAACAATGAAATCAGACCATTTTTCCAAAAACCCAATTCAGTATTTCCTCCTTCCTTATCATCACCCAGGGCCCTTCCACACAACCATACAACTTAGAATATCAAGGCAGAAAATCCCACAATATCTGCTTTGAGCTGGAGGGACGCAGTTTGAGGATGCCTGCTGTAGACCCATATAATGCAGATCCAGGCTGCATTAAATGAAGTGTATATCAAGCCAAAAATGTGAAGTTTTACAAAATGAGGAAATACATACATTTAAATGTATACATGTATAAATTTATATAAATAAATTAGGCACTTTTATTTTGGTGTATCAAATGTATTGCAATGACATAAATTCATTTCTAGAGATTAAGTAGGTCAACAGCAATTTCAATCCCCATCTATGTTTCATGAGTTTTCTTTTATTTTCAACAAGAACTATTACTGCAGTTTGTTAAATAATTGCTTTTTCTTTTATTGTCATGATTCTACTAACTAAGAGGCATCTTTAGTGTTATTCAGAAGTCAAGAATAAGAAGTCTGGACCTTTTGCCTTCTAGTTTTAGCTGATTAGAAGTGAATAATAGCTAATTGTACACAACAGGGCAAACAAACAGCATAATGAAATTTGAATGACCTTCGGCTGTTCTGAAGAAGGCTGCCAGCATCTCTGTGAATTTGCATTATCCCCAGTTTCTGCTTAGTGTTTCTGGTAACAAATTTTCAAGGACAGCCATAAGCAGCACCTTCCTTCCCTCTTACTGAGTACTTTCACTTTTATATATAGAAAATACTTCACTATAATGGAAGATAAGTGAAATATGTGTGCATTTCATTACAAGAGACAAAAGGTCATGGAATTCATACTCATTCAGGGTGCCGCAACATAGGCTGGAAGATATGCACGCCACACGCAACATTCAACTATGGAGTCTTCATACACATTTTTTCCCCTTTCCTATCTACTCTTCCATGTCTTTTGATGCCTTGAAATTTAATGTTGTGCCTGATTACCAGTTGGCTAGCTAAATTAACTTAGATCTCACATCAGAATCAAGATTAAAGAGGCAGCATCCAACTGTCAAACTAATTTTCCTGTTTCGTTTGCTTCTAAAGCTGCCTTATACAGAAATATAGTAAGAGTTCTTTCTTACTGTTTTTAAAAGGAATCCTTGTTTCTGTTTAACAGCTAATTGATAAGAAAAAAATCACCAGCTTTTTAAAGGCACCACATATTTTTAAGCTGTAGTCAAGAACCACTATTATATGTCATTTCTTGGTTTAACAGATGCTTCAAAACACGAATTTGTTACACTTTCCAATAATTGATTTGTCTTTATCATTCCCACTTGTTTTCTTTTCCTCCTATCTTCCTGCTATTTTCCTCATTCATTTTATGTTATATACCACTTTTCTTCAAGGGACTTTTTGAAGTGTTGGAGACCTGAATGCTATAAGTATGTCCTTATTGAATCAGCTATCTAAAGGTGAGAATACTTGTTGCGAATCGCATTCTTTTGTTTCTTTTTCTTTTTTTGCAACACTTCTGCTATAACTGAGACTGCCCAATAGCATTCAGGCCTTAGAGTTGGAGAAGGTGGTGAGACCCCTTTCGGGTATAACTGGACTGTCAGCAATCATTTAGCAGTTCCTGAACTGGATAACTTTTTAACTTGTTATCTAAATATGCTTGATGTTCAATTTTATATCTGCATGGTGAAATTTCCCATTTTAAAACACTTTTAATGCCTTGGTAAACATAACAAGTGAAGGCCAGTGCACAGAAAACTGATGAGAAACATATGATTCTTCATAACACTAAACAGTAATATGACAGCTGATCTCACACTTTTAAGACCACAGAATATAATTACTTTGTCATTTTGATGAAAGCTATGTAAAGGGAATGATCTGTAACAGAAATGAACCACAAAGTCCTACTTAATGTGGTTTTTCTCAACATCGTGTTTTAAATATTTACTTCTCCTGATTTAAAATGTTATTTATGGTCTCCAGATCACTGCCAAGTTATGTCACTTGATGGTGTTTTGTTGCTGTAGAATTAACCCTGAGTTTGTCCTAGTGTCTAGGTTGCCAAAAATGCAATGTATCCTGCCTTAGCTAAATGAAGTGATGCATTCATATTTCCCAGGGAAATAACCTCTTGTGAGCAGCTAAAATATTTATCTATCCAGGTTTCGCCTTACTGAATTCGTTGTTAGCTAAAACAAGCAAAACTCTACAGGCTGTAATAAGATAATCTAAAACTGGTCTTAACCCCCTGCTTGGATCTGCAGATTGAATGATATTTGAAATACATTTTAAAGGGAAATGAGATTCCCTCCACCCCTTGAACATCTAGGGAGAAATATGGAAAGTTTGATAACTAATGTCTTGCTGACATATTTGCATCTAAAGTGGTCATGTTAACTGTTTTTCTTAGACACACTATTTCTAACATAATATATTTATAATATTTATTTATTTAAGTGATCATAAAATGGTAATTTCGATAAAAAGAAATTACAAAGCTGTTGTTCATGCTTTCATGTGTAGACCATTTCCCCCTCCACTTCTGCTTCAGGTTCTGTACTCATCTAGATAAAATGTAACAATGGCATTAAACAATCCAAAGAAATGTGTTGGACAGTAATAAATCCCTGTACTGCATATTTACATTAAATAGCAGTATCATGAGGCTAAATGATATCCAGTGTCTTATTTCTTTTCAGTTATGTAGTATACATTTCTTGAATATTTTTATATTTTTTAAAAACCGAGAAGCTGGGTTTTTTTTCTCCAACAGCCCATACATTGCATCCACTTCTGATGTTGCCATTAGCATCCTGGAAAGCTTGTCATCTTTTCTTACTAATACTTGTCTGTTCTTCAATGTACATCCAGATCCTTTCTGACACTGTTGTCCTGCAGCCCCCATGTAAAAGCTAAGCATCTCTGTTTCTGAAGCAGGAGTGCTGAGAGAGAGGGAATACTCAGAGAAACTTGCAAGTCTGAGATACATACAGCTTAAGGTTAATGTGCAAACAAGGTTTTCTTGATAGAAATCCTTGAGTTGAGGCAAACAACAGCCCTGTAGAGCATTAGGGGTATGAGTCCAACTCACACGAGGAAGTTTACCCAATTTGCTTCAGACAAGATTGAGTGAGGGTCTTTTTAGTTGGATTATGTAAATGTTTGAACATCTGTGCTCTTAAGTTTTGTTATAACAAATAATCTGTAAAGATTATGTATAATAAGATTTGCAAATTGCTAAAATTATAAAGTGGTCAACTAAAGCTAGGTTATTAATGGATTTAACATGTAGTAGTCAATGATAATCCAAATAATGCATTTCTTCGGTGGTTCTATATATTTAAGTATGCTAGGTTATCTACTGAACTCATTTTGTTGTGATGGGAGTAGAAGGAGCACCTCAAAACCTTGCTTCACTGAGTTTTCTTTTTCTTTCTTACACTCTGGTGTGGGGCCCTAATGAATAGTGGTGGCTTGTACACGATTGCTCTGTAACTGGGGAGTGAACTCAAGTTGAAAGGGATTTTGTAACACCAAAGCTTCTGCTGGAAAAAAGATTTTCATCAATTCTCACTTCCCATTAGATTCCCTTCTCCAAGACAGACCTGCATTACTCTGTTGTCCTTAACATTTTACAATTAGAAAGAATGGGCCCTTAGTATCCACTGAGGTTTACTCCCATAGTAAAATCTACAGATGCTAAACTCCTGTTATGTATAACAGTATATTAAAATTGGGTCCCTTAACAAGAAATGTTTGCTTTTTGGAGATAGATAGATAGATAGATAGATAGATAGATAGATAGATAGATAGATCGACAGACAGACAGACAGACAGGCAGATGTGGACAATTGAATCCATGCATTTGGATGGCTAGCTATATTGTACATAGGAAAGGAAGTGGGGGAGATATATTTGAAACCACTAGCTAACATCATGGTAGGGAATGTCCTTTTCCTCAGATGCATACAGTGAAAACATGCTTTTTCTTCACCATGTTTCAGACTTCATATGATATGTCTGCTTTGTTTTGGATCTTCTGTTACTTGTTGATCACAAGGTTATACTAGAAACTTATATGAAGTATTTGATCCCATACAAGGGTTTTATTCCTTGATAAAACTTATTCCTAATTGTATACAAATACACAAATTCCTTGAAACACCTTACTTGACTTCAACTCCTATATTACATAATTCCACATCACTTGTTCCTGAACTGCTATTGGTATTTTTTCTTTCAACAGAAATGTCGTAGCATTTGTCAAAATTGATTGATTCATAGGTGGGTCATGGGCTTTTAAAGATCATTAAGCAAAAAGACTGTTTACAGCATTAATGTTTAGTACTGGGAGAATATGTTTAGCAAGGATTATGTGTACAGAGCTTTTTAAAATTGTGTCAGAATGAAGAAGATTGTTGTTTTCATACTGCATATGCATCTAGAAAGCAGTGCCAAACTTGTCAAAGCTAGAACTTGAAAGGGAAGTCTGTACTTCAAATGATTGACTGTAGTAGGGTTGTTTAAAATATTTTTTTATCCTACAGGTAGTCCCCCTCTCGCTTTAAGGAAATGCCAAAAGTTTTAATCTAGACTTTCAAAGTGAACATAAAATTCAGTTTGCTTTTTCAGTTGGACTTTGGAATCTCCTTAGATGAAGACCAAAGCGCATACAAAAACAGTCAATCTGTTCTGCAGTTCAGACAGTCTCTGGCATCTCTTAAAGTAATCTTTCTTTTCTCTCTTCTTCTCTATTTCCTAGTTCTTTGAGGTTCCATTTGACTCAAATATGAACAGGACAAAAAACAGACCACTGGTGCGAGGACAGATCAGGTAAGGCTGCATGCACCTGCTCTTTAGAGTAAGGAATCACATTGCTCCTTTCATATATTCACAAAGTCTTTGCCTTTTTCTTGTGTTTTGATAAGCAAATATGTTACTCTCTAAAACACAAAAGAACTGGAAAAGGAGACCATTTGTTTGTGTCTATGTCTGTACGTTGTTTGTGTGCATACCGATGAGTCGCAAAATGTATAATCCACATAGAAAATGAATTGGCTTGCCCCTCTTATTAAGATCAGAAGACATTGTTCAAGGTTCTTAAGAGATATTGAAATTGGGCATTACAATTTTTCCAGAATACTGAATAAATAGAATAGTTTTGGACACAAGCTGCTTATCCTAGCTACATTTTGAAAGTAATTATGGATCTACTTCAACTATTCTTGACAGGAGGAGCAAAAATTATTAAAATCGGAAAAGATCCATATTAGCCTTCTTTCCTAGGGCCCTTCTTTATATAGCTATATAACCCAGAACATCAAGGCAGATCATATATAATATCTGCTTTGAACTGGATTATCTGAATCCACACTGCCATATAATCCAACTCAATGTAAATTTTATACAACTGCGTGGAAGGGGCCCTAGATGGCAAAAGGTGATGGGAGAGGTTAAGCATACAATTTTTGTTATATATTGAGGTCATTGTTCACTTTCCCATCATTACTACTGATCTATATGAAATAATACTGGTTACAAAGGGTTTGCTGAAGGTCTGCTTACTAAAAATGTGAAGGCCCAGAGGTAAAAAGAGAAAAATCAGGAATGGAGGATCATTTTTTTTCTGAAGACCTCCCCCCTCCAAATGGAACGTACAAAAAAAAGAGAGAGGTTTCCCTAGCTATCTGTTCAGACGTCTCATGGCCAAAAGAACAAAAGAACAATAAATAAACACAGACATAATTTGAATGCTATGATCCACATTGTCTCAAAAACTCCAGACTCTGTTTTAAAATCCCCAGAAAGGGAGATTATTACCATAAAAATCTTCCTTATATTTTTGTGGATCTCCTTTCCTGTAGTCCATTGTTGTGTTTTACTTTTGACAATGTATGACCTTGGCCAGCAGACTCCTAACCTAACAACTGGATTTTCAATTCCAAAAGGATACTGTTACGTACCATGTTGTTGTTTCCATTATGATCCCGTCCCCCAAAATATTGCAGTTTTAATATGTGTATTCTTTTCTTCCTAGTTTATTTGATAGGGATTTCTTACCTTTTTAAAACCAATTTTCTCATTCATGAAGAACAAATTGAAATTTTACTTTGAAGATCAGACCTTTACAAAATGCCAAAATACTGTTTCTTTTTTTATTAAAAAATGTGAAACAGAATAAGTGACTTCTTTTTACTTGTCTTTATTAGGGCCAATATATTCTCTTGAAAACTTCTGAGAGCATAGTTCAATTCTAGTATCTTAAAAATTGGCATTATTGTCTTCAAAATATTTGGTTTCAAGAAAGAATTATCAAAACTTTTCCTCCCTTCCTTCCTGCAATCATGATATCACTGCAATCATGGTATCTCTTAAAAACCAGGCCTGGAATGTTTTCCAGTTCTCCAAAAGTGACTTTGGGTGTGGATAGGGGCTGCAGTGGAGAAGAGGTTTATTTGTGTTATTCCACTGTTGGATCTCCATTGGACCCTTCGCAGTCACTAGATTCAATATCCTGTGTTTTTCTGGAGACAGAAATACATAGGATATTGAATCCAGTTACTTATATCTCAGTCCCAGTAATAAGTTATTAGTGGTTCCATGCACTTTTATGTGAGTCTCTTTCAAAAATAAATTGTAATCAAGCATGTTTTGATGTTGTCTAAGGTTATAATATTACTAGTATCATATTGTAAAATAATTCTTAATTGTGCATTCCTACAAAAATGCCATTCAATTGTGCATTTTGGGGGGCATGATAATGCCTACATTTCCTAGTGATGTGTGTTTTTGAGCAGAATAGAAACACACTTTGGTTTCTGTTGACATATCAAGATTGCTTTGCTTAATCTTGTAAAAGCTTTTCTATCACTTCTAGACAAAGGAAAACATAAAATTGTAACCTGACTGTTAGGGGATTAAACTATTATTACAATCCTGGCACTCTAGCAGATTCTGACATCCATGTTACATAAAGTACATACTAGCTTGTTCAAGTGAAAATAATACTCAATTGAGGTTAATACAAACAATAGAGGTGGGTGGCTGATTTTTTTTCCTATCTGTTTCTTTGAAGAAAGTGTACCTTTGCTGAGATCTTACTTCACATTGCTCATGTTCCAGTAGACAACTGACATAGCAATATTAAGTGTAGTGACAGTTACTGAGAGCTAATAACTTGTATGTTGTGAAGGAAATGGCAAGGATAGTAAAGAGAACTTACATACTACAAAAATAATGCATTCAGAAGTTGACAGATAAATGGGAATTTGCCTTATTAACACAGTATATGTGCGGTGAACAGAATAGTGAGGCTCTCTTCCAGTAGAGAATGCTAAGTTTCCCCTTTATTTATTAACTTGGATCAAATTTGATATACCAGCATTTGTAGAAAGGTAATGCCATATCAATATCACTTCTTAGTTTGTCAGTGTGAACTCTCAAGAGAACCTCAGATCATGATGTGGACAATGTACATGGCCTGCTTCATTTGTGTTGTCTGAAAGGGTGAAGAGGTTTACCCCAAAATATTATTACTTCTAGAAAGCAAGGTCATTTACACCATTTGGCTTGTTACTGGAAAAGAAGCTGAGGAAAACTCACCCAAGATCCTTGGGAAGTGCTCCTTCTGTCAAATGCTGAAACAAGTTTTTGCCCATCATCCCTGCCCACCCCTCACTCCACACACATCCTGTTAATACCTTATTTATTCTGCCACTTGTCACATTTGATGGTAGAGCTATTTCTAATTTTTGTTTTTGACATTCTCTTTCTCTAGTCTGAATAGTGTCCGATCTTTTGATTGGATTTGCTACCGCATGGTCTTATTTTTATTAGATGGTGTAGGGAGAATGTTGCTAAACGTTACATATGTAAAATACTTATCCTTTCATTCTGGGCGAATCATTGCAAGCTCATCTTGTATTTTTCCTTTATAGCAAGTCGTGAGGAGGAAGCAAACCCCTGATGATGCTTTACAGAAAGAATGCTTAAACATGTGTCGCCTTTTATGCATGCTCTCTGTTCATTGTATACATACAAATAAAAAGCCAGAGTCCCATGGGGCTCCTGTTTGAACAGAAACCTTGATTTTTGTTTGTATGTCTGTTCAGTTTCTGAAAGGATTGGATTCCAATTTATGGGTGGGGGATGGAGAGCGCTATACCTTATTGGCAAACTTTAAACTAAAGCCCTTATTCATAAAGTATTCAACAAACAATTTTCAGATAGCATTTCCATGATTTGTGCCAAGGATTATTTATAACAAAATTATGTTTTCCCTTAGGCATCTGTGAACAGTTGGTCCTATTTATTTCTGTGTTTTATCCATCATCTTTGGAGGATTTGGGGGGGGGGGGGGGGGGAGTGATGGATGAAATTACATCAAAATTGAAACAAAATAGTAAAGTAAGCCCTGCGGGTGAGCTCACTCTCATTGTAAATAGAGTACTTTGCTAAACTTGTTCAGATTTGTTCTGTAACATGGTGCTAATTACAGATTTCTAAGTTCAGTTAATTTTTTTAAAGCATAAGAGGGAATGTTCAAATGAGAACATCTGTTGAGCACACAATGAGCCAAAAAGAGGGACTAAGCAAAATGTAGTGAAATGGGTGTGCACTCTGGTCTTTGAATTTGATGATGTCACTGTGCTTAAACGCCACCTCTTTTCTCATCCCCAAATAAAATTAAGGCTTGTATCCACACCACCCCCAATGTCCAAACCTTAACAAGTTATATTACAGGCAGCACCATACTTAACCAGGAGGAAAATGCATCTATCATAAAAGCTGCCAAAGAAAATACCAGGAAGAGTACAGGGTCCTGATATTCTATTTGAACTTGAATTTTCACTCATATGAACACAAATTGTGTCAATGTACATGTATTTGCTTGCAAGCCAGGACGAGTGCTTCCACATATTTCATTTATTTTCTGTGAAAGACATTTGTGTGTCCACAGAAAATTTTAATTCAGTCATTGACAGGATGTTTTTAAAAAATGGACCCAATTTGATATTGAGGTATCTCTCCAACCACACACCACCCATGAATGAAACTCTTACTCCTTGTAAGGTGGGGCATAGAGTTTCAAATGATTGCTGCTGGATTCCTCTCCCTGCACACTGACAGTCCCTAGCCTAAGTCATGTGCAAGATGGTGGCCCTGCAACACAAGGAATTTTGTCTTCTGCAGTTCAGCAAGACTGAATCTGTAATTTCCATGCAGCATGTGTTTCAATGGAATTTTGGTTAGTAAAACTTGATGATTTATTAAACCATTTTTAATTTTTTGTGTACTTGTAACATGTTGCCATCATGAAATATACCTACTTGAAACTAGGTCCATCATTTTGAAGCACCTATAGAATACCAGCGCAGATGAGAAAAAAATGCTTCCTTGATTATGCTTGGCCACAGTAGTCCACATTCTTGTTACATCTCGAATAGACTACTGCAACATGCCCTACACGGGGTTGTCTTTGAAGACTGTTCAGAAGCTTCATGTGGTCCAATGGGTGGAAGCTAGATTTCTCTCCCGAGTGGCATACTGGGAGCATACAAGTCCCCTGTTATGTCAGCTCCATTGGCTGCCAGTCCGCTACTGCACACAATTCAAAGCACTGGCTTTAGCCTATAAAGCCGTGAACAGTTCTGGCCCAGCTTACCTGTCTGAACGTATCTACCTCTATGAACCATCTCAAAGGTTAAGATCATCTGGGGAGGCCCTGTTCTTGGTCCCACCTCCTTTGCAGATGCTGTTGGTGGGGACGAGGGACAAAGCCTTCTCAGTGGTGGCCCCTCGGCTGTGGAACTCCCTCCCTAGAGAAATCAGCT